ACAAGCAGTTTTAAGTTGCTGTTCTCATGTGGGTGCCTTGCAGTTCTCTGAAAAAAGCTGCACACCCAGAAAAACCATAAACTTTCCTTCCCAGTGTGCCCATACACACTTTAAGAAACTGGAAATCCATCTCACTGGGTCCCACCCTCCTTTTATGTTCCCAAAGTGTGCTGTTTCCTTGGGTGCTGAAGCAGCAGCATCTGCCCCTTAAAGCCTGCTGCCCCCCCTCTCCCTGTCATTTACTTGCTCTGATACAAGAGGCTTTCACAAGGAGAGAGGAGGAACTGCACAGCTTCGGAATTGCACAGGAATTTTTTACAAAGCTAAGTGAGGACTGGAAGGTTAGCTTTCTGCTTGTAAATACTGCCAGTCTCCTAAAATTTGATTTCAGGAGCTTGATAATTTCAACTTTGTTGTCATGGTGATTATGCAGGTAAAAATAAGAGAGTTGGAAAACAGTTGGCGTCTCAGAAAATCCTTCAGCTGCTTCACCCGCATGTGAAAAACTGGGGCTCGTTACTGCGCATGTATGGTAGAGAGAGCAGTAAGATGGTGAAACAGGTAAGGTGATACACCTCCTTGTCTTGCCCACTCCTTGAAGATCGATGCTTTTTTGGGGGGGTGCTTGTTTTTCTGCTTCCATGATGCTGCCAAAACAGCAGCCAAGTCCCCTCAGCACTGAAAGCTATTTTGTTGTGACGATGGTTGATATGGTGTGCCCTCCACATGCAGCCAGTGTGTGTGGGGGTCCCTCTTAGCTCTCACCTGAACTCTGTTAGCCATTTTAAAATTGAAATGCCACACAGCAGCTCTTCCTTCCACCTTTCATTTCAGGAAACGTCTGATAAAAGTGTGATAGAGCTTCAGCAGTATGCCAAAAAGAACAAGCCAAATCTACACATTCTGAACAAGTTACAGGAAGAAATGAGGAAATTGGCGCAAGAGAGGGTGAGTGCATTCTTACTCTTGACTTCTGAGAGCACATGTAAATCTCACATTGGTGTAGATCTGTTTACTGAATTGCCTTCAGGGCTTGTTCACAGGGCCAGATGTTTACTCTGCTATGTTTGTTTTGCTCTTCAGCTTAATAATTTTCCAGCTATTTTAAAAAAAAATTGCTTAGGTTTGCAAGCATTTCAAAAATGTGTATACACGTTGAGGCTTTCCCCTTGATGTCAGTCAACCTCAGTAGAAACCCCAACCTCAGTTGTTTCTGGCACTTGCACCACATTAAGGTGGTTTTAAGCAGTCCGCATCGAGTTGTGTTTGCTAATAACCTTGCTATGCAACAGCTGCTTCTACAAGGTGATTTCAGCAACTGGCCAGGCCACATGATGAAATGTACTTTTTACTGCTGCACAAAAATGTGGCAGTAATAAAGGCTGCCTCTTTGTGGCTGGTCACAAGAGTGAGACTGATTTTAGGTGTTTTGTGCTGCTGTTTTCCCCAGTGGAAACCCAAAGCAGCCTATAAAAATGTGGACTCTGGCAGCCTCCACGGCATTGCCTTTTGTCACTTGGCTGGCTCTCTGCTGGCACAGTGACTTCCGTTTTAAGAGGCAGAGTCCCGCATTTTCCTAAGCAGGTGGCCATCATGGACCACCTGTACCCAATTTCAGCTGCCTCTGTAGAAGTTTAAAATGCTTATCGCCCGTAAGGGCCAGGATTGTGTATAACCCCAGCTGGCTTCTTATATTTTAGGAGGAAACACGAAAGAAGCCCAAGATGACGATTGTAGAATCTGCTCAACCTGGTAGCGAGCCTCTCTGCACAGTTGACGTGTGACCAGAAAATGTAAACAGTTGGGGAGCAATAAACAAGCGGCAAGAGCTAGTTCTTTCCAGCTATTATTTAAGAATTGGTTTGCTTCAGAATGCAAAATAGTCCAAGCTGCTTCAAATATGCATTGTTCTTCATCAGGGCAATAGTACTTTGAGTTTTGTTGAATTTTTTTTTTTTTTGGCATTGGTCATCAACTATTATTTTCTTTCATGTGAAGGCTGGATGCTTGTTCACTTAATCATCACTGGCCCCTTGTGGACGGGAGCTCACACTTAATTCTTTAATTGCGTGTGTGAATTTGGAACCTTGCAGTGACTGTGCCCACTTCTCTCCTGGACTGTCTGATGTGTGAGGCAAAATTATTTAGCATCGGCCTTGTGTGCTGGAGTTTGTTCGCCTGAGGGGGCCCAAGGTTGGACTGAGGTTCTGCCTTTGCCCCCCCCCCCGGGGGGGGGGCTTGCAGAGGCAGCTCAGGGTGGAGGTGGAGGGGACATATGAGCTGGAACAGTGTTGTCTGGCCTGTCTATCGCAGGGGTGGTAGAATGATTGGTCATGCCCTCCATGCAAATTGATGTCTTGGAAGTCAGGTTTTGAGACTGAGCCCTGATAGTCACAGGCAGGCTTCTGCTGCCATGCTTAGGCTCTATGGCAGCCCATGGAGTCTCCTTCTCGGCACAAATTCTAGCTAGGTGTTTTAGGCATTCTGTTTGTTTGTTCTGGACGCTAATCTGCATTTCAAGTTCCTCATCCTTCTTGTTGAGCTTTCAACCTCTGAGAGATACATTTAATATAAGAGAGCAAAGGTCTCCACTTGAGCCAGTGCATAGAGGGACAAACAGGCACATACAGAGGATAAGCTGAAGCACCCCCCCCCCCCCCCAACTATACACGCTGTCTTCAATGGATGTGTTTAAGTGTCTAACTCAGAATGTCTGTGTAAATGGTGGAACGAATGTATAAGATGGGAGTATAACTGTACATGCTCTTGTATGAACTTGCTGTCAACTGTTTTTCAGAAGAGCTCTGCTGCCTTTCAGCACATAATGACATGCACTGATAAGGCACTTTTTGACAACTGCAATGAAAAAGTTGAAAAGCAATGTTTCCCTTGCCAGAAAGGTTAGGCCAGTAGCACTGCTTTATTGTATTGTGGCAAGCTTCAGATTCCCAACGTCCTTAAAGAGGACGGGTACTCAACAGCAGTGAGTCCACCTTTTAACTGGGGTATCTCCCCCCCCCCTTGTAAATCATAGGAAGCCATGCTTGTTTACGTACAAGAAGATTAAGAAGAGTACATGGCTATTCATTCAATTAATTTCAGGTGGCTTTGGGTGGAATTGACGAAGCACCCTGCATTCCTTCAGTCTTATACATTTGGGGAGATTTGTGGAAGAATCTTCCACAAAATTGTATGGCCCCAATGTTTGGTGACCTGCCTCCTGAGTCATTCTTAAAACGCCTCTTGAAAAACAATCTAAAAATATACTGACAGTACAAACATTTGAATAGGAATCCCACCCTCCTGGGCCCTATAGTCTTAATCCAACTGTATTAAATCGGGACTTCAGGCGCTTGCTTTACGTGAGCTTTAAGGAAAAGGGAAATTCTTTGTTTTGTGGCCTATCAGTGCTCATTTTTTTAAAAAAATCACTGGATTAACCTTTTAAGCATTATTTTTAAAAGTTGTCACAGGTTTTGTTTTTACTAGATGTTTTTAACATTGGCAGAGTAACTTCTGCTGTGGAAACAATTAGAATGTAAATTTGGGATACATCAGAGAGAACAAAAGACTTTCTAAACAAGTTGTATTAAGATGAAATAAAGAACACGAATATGCAAATTTTGTCTTGTATACACCTTTCTTAAGCTGTGTAGGTACTTGGTTACATAACCTGTAAAGGGGCAGGCTATACAATCCAAGGGTTTATCCTAGAAATACCTCCTGTGCTCACTTTTGCACTCCATAGAGGCTAGAAGGGAGGGGAGGAGAGGCATCTACTTCCATGCTGCTGCTTTCAGCCCATTTTTCTAAATCACTTCCTAAAGCAGTCTCTAATTGGCAATAGGCAAATAAGTGTGTGAGAGGGGAACATCTATTCTGAAAGGGTCCTGTTTTCAGATTCTCCTTGCAGCAACACATAAGGAAAGCAGTGCAGAAAGAAAATGGTGACCTGGAGGAATTTTGCCTAAGGCCTCCAGTAGGCCCCGGCTGAATCCTGCTTCTTGCATGAAATTATTGCCACCAGCTTCTTAAAGAAAGGTACACGAGGCCTAGGAGCCTTTTGAGCTTCTCTTGTTGCTTTCTGGTCTGGAAGGCAAGCTTTGATTAGTAGCTGGTGGTGGTATAAGAATTTCAATAGTCTACTACTGACTGAACTCTGCAAATATTTTAATTGGACGTCTAGCCCATTTGCTAGAGAACTCGAGTGGAGCGTATAAAACTCAGCCCAACAACTCTTTTCCATGAAGGCTGCTGTTCAACTCCAGGAAAAAATTTTCCTCACGTAAATGATTATGCGTTCTGCACCTGTGAAATGGCTTTTTGGGATTCACCTGATCGTGTCTTCGTGCCACCAGTGTCGATAAAAGAAAATAGGATGGCCTTGGTAGGCTACGTGTAGATTTAGAAACCTTTGCATATAATACAATGCTAGTGAACATCTGTTCAAACTTCTGGAACGCATCCTGGGCCACAGTAAGCAGATCACTTCCAAGATCCCCAGTGGAAGTCTTACCAGTTGACTGTGGCAGTTGTGATTCCATCCCAATGCTCTCTACTCCAGTGTTGGCATATACAATATACTTTCACTCCCCAGCAAAGAAGTTGGTTCCTTTTTGTACCATCTTTATTTGGCATCTCTTCTGAGGTGCAGTGGCAGGTCAGGTGACAGAATGCAAACACTGCCTCTGTTGGTTGCTTTTCTGAAATGTGTACCACACCAATGCAGCACTAAAAAGTAAGGTTTTTACATAATTTGCATCATGTCTGGCTTGGGGGGGGAAACTTTTTGGACAGTGCTTTCCCCAACCATCCCCTTTGAATATTTGGAATGTTTGGCAGTTTGCCTGCATATTTTCCATGGATGCCTCATTCTAGAAATACTATTTTTAAGGGTTTTGCCACATTGACCATCTTGCTTTAGTCTTACCTCAGTCTGCCCATATCTGACTCCCTGCAAAGGTGACCGCTGCCATTAAAACATCAGACATGTCAATGTGAACCAAAGGCTCGTACCGATTATGCATTCTTTTACAACCAAGGGTATTTACTTGATGTGCTGCAGCCTCTTTGGGCAAGATGTTCAGATAAAGCGCAATAACTCCTGGAACAATGTAACTGCTGTCGTCACTGTGAAGTATTCCTGTACTCTGATGTTTACTATTGTTTGAAGTGTAACTGTCTTGCATTTGCACATAAGCACAAGCTGCTACGATAGAGGGTAGATGGTTGCATTAACTTTCGCTTCTGCATGAATACTTATGCAGTGTGATTCAAGACATATCTGAGAAAAGTATGTATCTCTTGTAATGTGTGTGATTTTTCTAATTAATCTTGAATACCTAAAAGGAACTACTTTCAGCCCTGTTCCCTCTTCCCTCTTGTAAGATCACTGTTTCTCGTGGATGGGAATAGGTTTTTGCTTTGACTTGCGTTCTTGACAGGTGTGATGTTGACTTGAAGGATGGTACTTTTCTGAATGTTTAAAGACAGATGATAGGAAGTTATTAAAGCAGGCAAATCCAGATGCTACCTATTTAAATAAGCAGTAGCTCAGCCGAACATTACATTTGAACTTGTCAGGCCCTCAGCTACTGGAAACCAGTCTTGAAATATGCATAAACAGTCCTATTCTATTCTGACTCTTGCAGATTTTGTGGTCACACTCGCAAAGCCTTTCTTTCTAGACATGACACCTCATGCTAGTCCAATTCTTGGCTTTTGGTAAGAATCCCAGGAATTAATAGCTACCTAAAGCTTGTATGGGAACAGTTCCAAATTAGTCCTGTGCCATTTGGAACAACTTTAGTGATCAACTGCAGTATTGTAATTTTTTTTAAAGGAATGTGACCAACTCCATGTTACTGGTTGCTGTACGAATTGTATGTTGAGTGCAATTGCTTGATGCCAGTGCTCAGTTGGTACAACTATAAAGCCTCTCATTAAGCCTGTTCTAGGTCTTTTGAGTACATGTGGTGTTTGGAAAAAAAACCATTAGTTTTGAGCAATAAAGTTTGATATTACACATGTGTTTCTTGAATGGTATTAAAGGTCTTTTTTAAAAAAGTAACGAACACTGTGTCACCTTACATTTCCCTAGAACATTTATAAGTACCTGATTTACAGTAAAGACTTTGTTGTCCAGCATTCATGGGGGATGGGAGTTCCCAGTCAATCAGGAACACTGGATCTGGCAGGACACACACACCCCATACCACCGAGCATCGCAGGGAGACACGATCTGATTTCTGGCAGGCCAAGAGAGGAGGAGACAGCAGAGGATGACTTGATGCCAGTGCTCAGCAAAAGCTGGCAAAAGCCCAGACAAATTGAGCTGGAAAGGCACAGAACTATGGTGAATGAGGAGGATAATCAAATGTTGAATAACAGCTTTTAACTGTATTGGGCAGTAGCAAACTTAAGCTTAGAAATCCAGTTTTCCTGCCATGAGAGCTGCAAAAGACTTTTTGTGGTCTTTGAGGCAGGTGGATGGGGGTGGCAAGTTTGTAAAGTACCCATTGAATATGAGATGACCTGAGGACCCCGGCAGATAACATTTCAAGTGGTAATTTCATCTTTACCTTTTGACCTAAAACCAACCGTGTGTATTGGTGGCTAACTGGGACAGCCAGACCAACTGTAGAAAGGCCACCCTCCCCACACACAATTTCTACAGTATTCCCTCCCATCTAGATTACAGCCCCCCTTCATTGTGGGGAAAGAATACTACAGTATTCCCTCCCATCTAGATTACAGTCCCACTTGAAAAACAAGCCCCACTTCATTGTGGGGAAAGAATTTTGTGCTCTTTGTTTGATCCTGCACAGCTCAAAACAAGGTTGGGGAAGTTTAAATTGATTGTTCTAAGACTTAGAAAACACAACAGGCACATTGGGTGAGTAGTGTATTTATTTGCCAGATGTTTTCCAAGAGTCTTGCTCCAAATTGCCGGTTTTCTCAGTGATCCTTTGGATTTGGCACACTCCTAACATTCAAAAATAAAAATCACTTTGGCAAATGCCCTGCCCGGGTATCAGTAAACATATACAGATATCCATATGGGCTGATAGACTTGATCCTCTGCCAAGATCCCTTCAAGAAAAGAAGTCTCCTCTCCAGTACAGCATAGCCATCATCTCAAAGCTCCACAGATTAAATACTTGTTCAGTTTTTCCTCAGAGAGGCAACATATTTGAAGGAAGATGGCAAAGCGTTATAGAAGGAAAATAGGTAATCATGCAAACTAGCAAGCCTTTCCCCCCCCTCATTAGCTGGAAGATTCTTCCGCTGTGTGCTTTCCAGGTAAGTCAGTATTGTCCTCTTCCATGGAAGCTCCTGCTTCTGGTTTCATAGCTGGAATTTCAGCAGAGTCTACTAATGCTTCAGGTGGTTTCTCACTGGAATGTTCTATTCGTTCAAAGTAAAGTAGCAGTTCACAGTGCATCGTTTGAGGGAAGAGGTCCACAGCCACTGCTCTGACAGGACGGAAAGGGCTTCCCTTGACACGATTTGAAGGTGCTCGACAAAGGCTACCAGGGAAAACAAAGAGTATTAGTGCTTCACTACTACAATTTGTGTATTATTTTTTTGGCCTTTCTTCTCATGCTCCTTCAAAAGCCTCTTGCTGCTAACCCAGAAGACTCAACTGCCACTTAAACAGTTAATCTTGACAGTCTTCTGGGATTGGTTGAGACACTATAACCCCATATTAAGTCTGGGGGTAGAACAGTGGAATTCGATGGAAATTCAACCCCATTGTATACTTACTCCACAAAGTTGTTCATGGCAGCTCGAGGATTGCAGGACACGTAGATGAGCTTTTTCAAGTGTTCAGCTTTTCGGATTGCAAGAATTACTTTGGAATCTAGAAAATGGTATTTGAACAAAAACTGCAATTAGATTGTTTAATTGCTACAGCTGTGTCTGAATTAAGCCACTCCAATCTATCACACTGCTTTAAACATGTTTTCTCACACTATGCCCTTTGGGCATAGAGCAGGGATTACTGTGGTGGTGTGTGTGTGTGGGAGGTAGCTGTGAATTTCCTGCACTGTGCAAGGGGTTGGACTAGGTGACACTTTGGGTCTCTTCCAGCTGTATGCTTCTATGTTTCATCCAACCGTCTCAACAGAATAATCAAAACTGATCATTGCAAGCTACCATACTAGCCACCTGTGGTCAACATTAGCCAATGCAGAGGAGGGTGGGGATGTGAGCAGGTGGCATACAAGCAGTTCTATTGTTTTCAGGTCACCACCCCTTTTAATTAGTAAACTTAAGGTTGTTTGCCCTCTTGTGTTTGGCTAGCAAAGTTCAGCTGTACACTTTGAAGCCATCCAGTCTTTCCAGGCCAAACAAAGTGGTGGCGGGGGGTGTCCTTTCCACTACAGTGTGAAGTGGCCCCTAACCTGGATGGCTCAGGATGGCCCAATTTTGTCAGATCTCAGGAGCTAAGCAGGGTCAGCCCTGGTTAGAACTTGGATGGGGGACTACCAAGGAACTCCAGCATTGCTACACAGAGGCAGGCAATGGCAAACCACCTCTGTTGGTCTCTCGCCTGGAAAACCCCATGACGGGTCACCACTAAGTCAATTGCAATCTGTAGGTAAGGAACGAGATCTTCAGCCTTTCCGCTGTGCAATTCAACATTATTCAGTTCTGAATGGGAGGAAAAATATTTCTACTTATCCTTCTGCATAAACAAGGAAGCACCATCAGTTGCAGATGGTTCTTTCTCTAAGCTACCATTTGATACCCTGTTGCAAATCAGCCCAGCTTTACACTGTAGGTCAGGGGTGTCAAACATGTGGCCTGGGGGCCAAATCAGGCCCCCGGAGGGTTTCCATCAGGCCCTCAGCGGAACTGACCATCTCCTGGCTCCAGTTCTGCTGCATCATAGCTTGCGTCGCCAGACTCTCTTAATCACTCAGCCATTTCATATTTTAACCTGGGTCCTAGACTCAGAACTCCGAGCATGAGATTTCTGTGGGGAATGTCAACAAATCAAAAGTAGGTTTGCAGCTTACAGAGCTAATGTTTTAAGCAAAAAAACAACCCTTTGTGTTTGTGTCCTTTATAAAGTTTATATCTCTGCTACCTGGCATTATATTTTATGACACACATGGCCCGGTCCAACAAGGTCTCATTTATGTCAGATCCGGGCCCCATAACAAAATGAGTTCGACACCCCTGCTGTAGGTACTGGATGGAAGGATACTGAGAAGGCTTTCTTTGAAATACTTTGTTGCCTGGAACGGTACTCTTTTCATTGGCCCCGCAAAAACAGGTATTAATTATATTCAACAAGTCACAGAATACATACTTTGCAGGACAATCTGCAGACTCACTGAAGATTCAGCTTCCGAAGGCACAAGCACTGACAGCCCCGTCAAAACCATGGCTGTGGCCCCTGAAGTTGCACAGGTCTTAACTGTGCACTGCAGCGGCCTTCACTGAAGCTAAGCTAGTCTTGGTCTGATCAGAGCTTTGACCTGAGAACCATATAAACACTACCTTGCATCAAAGAAAGGCAACGCGCTGTGTTTTCCTCAATATGAAAGTATTACAAAAGCAGGTGCAGTTCCAAGATAATTGCCTTCAGGCACTGAGGGAAAACACTGGTTTATAGACTCTCGGGTGCAATCCATCGCATTTAATCAAGTGCTTGTAACCTGCTTCCCTGAAGCAGCTTAGAATTTAAATTGGGTTTTCAGGCAGCTTTACAGGCTCAGACCTTCACTGGTAGCAGCTAATCATGTATCTTCAAGACAACTGCCATTCGATGGCAAGGCTCCTACCAATTCTAAATGGTGCTAGCTTCCAACTCTGTTTCACAGTTCTCGATGGTGCACACGACGTGGGGCTTTTGTTAACAAAGAGACAAGTCAAATCAAGCCTTTAGATTTCCAAACGTCTTTTGACTCCATAAAAACCAGAACCCTGCTTCAAAATAAACACAAAACCTGGGCCTCTCGTTGCATACAAGTAGTTGCTAGAGTTCACCTGTATTCATGTTGCAGCATATGTACATATGGATGAAGAGAAAGCGCTTCAAACTGCATTTAGGATTCAGTGTTCATAATCCTCCTTGCACATGGGACACACAACTTTTAGCCTGGCAGCTTAACACACAACCAGGCACATGCACAAAGACACTATAGGGAAGAGTCTGCACAAATTGGCATTTTGCACCCTGGTACCAGGGATACCACCTCAACATTCCTATGAACAACTCTCCAAGTGGCAGCAAAACCCACAGCAGTATAGAAAGAATCATGTGAATTGACAGTGTTTTAAAAGTAAATGATTTTGATCTGGCTCAAGAGATTCATATAAAAACATTAGTAGCAGACACTTCAGCCCTGCTACAATCCTAGCCTTAAAGCCTCCTTAAATGTTAGATCATCAGGTCACTGTGCTTCCAAACTGTAATGCTGCAAGGTTTTCACATGATATACTTTTAAACGTTTTGTTGTTGTTCTTAGACAAAGGTATCTGTGTGCCATCCCCACAGAAAAAGAGGTACTGCTTTATGTGAAAGGAGACACATCTCTTAAATAGCCTGCTAGCTACAGATTTTGTAACAAACAATCAAACTTTTACTGCCAAACAATTTAATGGATTAAAGATCACTGCCCTAGGAAAACACACCTCAAGATTTCCAAGGCTGGGACTGAAGGGAGTCCTTATTTCGTAAGTTAATTGTTAACACCCTAAAATCTGTCCTTTGACTGAAGTCTGAGAGATCAGCATGATGAATGTTTTCTTTTACCAACCATTAAGTTCAGCATTCGCCCGGGCGTCTTCCACAGCTTCTTGACAAAGCTCAATCCCGATCACCTTCTTCACTTTCTGTTAGAAGCAAAGAAATAATGTGCAGTTTTAACAGCTGGTGAACGATGCAAGCAGACGGCAAAGGTGGTCATTGACACTGCAATGGCCTGGGATCCCAACCTCAACTCTTCTTTGTCTTGCAGCTTTTTAGTGAGGACGGCAAATCACAATCCAATTTGTGCAGTGGCTCCTTAAAATGTCAACCTGCAGGAGTTTCACTAGGCAAGCTGTTTGGATGCCGTAACTCTAGGAGACAGAATGGAAACCAACAACTTCTTCCTAGAGGGGTTTTTGCTTTGCAATGAATTGGAAACACACACACCGTAGTTAAATAATCAGCCGGTGCAATAATTCTTTGGATTGTAAGGGGAAAAGATGTCTTTCTGCACTAAGCCACAGAAAAAGAAGAGGCTGTTTCCCAGAAAACTAGAAGAATACAAGTAAGAAAGAGCGATTAGCTGTTCTCTTGCATTTACTTTGACCCAAGATGTGCAAAAAAAAAAAGTGCGAGTGCGTTCAAGGGCCAGTTCACAGGCAAACTTCAAGCGATAATCATTCAGTTAGAAGCCATGCCATCCCTTAAACAGTTGAGAGCCAACATGGAAGTTTGGCATTTTTCAAAACTAAAACCACCTTCTCAAACCATATCTTCTCAATACAGCCAGACTCCTTTCCTACTGATATTATCATAGCCTCTTGGGGAAGAAAGATTTAAGACTACATTCCTTTAAGAGACGTAATTATCACCACCCCCTTCAAGTGTCACATCAGGAAATTGGGAGAAAAATCTAAACAAGTGTTGAGTCTGGAACCCCTTTTAATGTATATTGGAAACATCCAGTGCGTTTTCTGAACTACCGTCACCTGCATTTGACTCACCTTGGCAAGGGAAATGCCAATAGATCCTGTTCCACAGCAGACATCGAGCACTGTAGTATCCTGGCTGACTTGGGCCCAATCATGAATAGTAGAGTAGAGAACCTCAGCAGCCTGTGTATTTATCTATGTGTTCCCAATACACACACACAGTCAGGGCTCAAGCAAATCAGAACTTTAAAAAAATCATGTTTTAAAATAAAAATGGCCCTTTCATGCTACAATCTGTCCAGAACTATGATGGAGAATAAAGATTACTAAAAAAACAATACATACAACTCATATGTACAAAAGATTTAAAAATATGATCCCTCCCAAACACACTCGTATCACAAGCAATATCGCTGGATACCTCTAACTCCAGATACGCTGCAAACAAACTAGTCTGGCCAATATATAACGATACATTTCAAGGACACTGTGAGAGATCTGGGTGGCATAAAAGAACATTTCAAGGACACTGTGAGAGATCTGGGTGGCATAAAAGAACAGGCTCACACCTCTTCACTTCTATGGGATGTTTCTGTCCATCTTTCAGCCCTAGCCATTCTGAGTACACTATCACAACTTCAGCTACTTGGGAGCACCATGTTAAAAATGCTTCCTTAAACTTGTGTTCAGAAGTCAATCTGTACTGTGTACCTACATCCACTCTTGACTCACTACGCTCCAGAGGCTTCCTCCTGAACTTGGACACTCTTTGCATCTTTCTTTTGGGGGGCATGAGAGCAGAATGCAGCAGTGCTCCCCCATTTGCATGGTCTCTTGCAGCTGAGAAGCTCACAGTTGCTAATAAACAAAGCTACAAAGCATTATTATTTACTTGGAAAAAGGCATGAGGCGAAATCCGGAACTTTAGCCCGAGAAGATCTTCATATATGTACTTGTTGCCAGCAATGTGCTCCAAGGGCAAATCTTCACGATTAGGAGACTTTCTGGAAGGTGGGAAAAAAATCGCATTTAACCTATTAATAGCATTTGTACGGTGGACCACAGATAGCCAAATAAAATAGAACAGCTGTACAAAAAATCTGCTACATGTCTAGAATGCATTCCCTCTCATTTGTTCCATAGTTCTATAGATTCCACTGCATCTACTGGGGGCAGAACACAGAGTTAAGCCAGCTCCAGCAGTGCTTATTTCCACAGGGCTGAAGCAGGCACAGCTGTGAATCGGCATGTCCTTTAATTGTCTGATCCAATAATTAAAACGAGCTTTTCGCTGAGAGTAGAAGCAGCTCATATACCAGTCAAAGTAACCAGATGTTGGTCTCACATGGCAAACTTAAGGCTTGTAGCCAGAATGGCCTGACCTTCTTGGCAATATTTCTGAATCTTTCTCCACGATCATTCTGGCCCTTTTGCTTAAGGAGACAAGACAGCCTTCTACCTGCTCAGGAAGGAGGAATACCTGCCCCTGCCTAGTGAACACTAAACTGCTGGGAGGGTAGGCAAGCACTCAGCTTACATGAGATGTCTTACCTTTAGGTTTCTGCTGCTTCACACTGACCCAAAATACCTTACCAAGCCATGTAATATTTAGTGTGTGTCCCCACCTCCCCCCATGTTTCTAGCTACTAGCCTAGGGGAATATTTTTTCTCTCTCAGATTTTTATCCCGGTTTTCATTCAACAACAGGACTCCCAAAGCAACTTCCAATTAAAATTCAGTATGGCGAACAATAAAATCTGACAAGCCTAAAAATGAATGTGAAAGTAAGAGGGATAAACTATGCAGCCAGTTTCTCCAAAGACAATCAGCAGTCTAGACAAGGAGTCCTCAGCTTGGTGACCATGAGCACCACAGTGTCGTTGTCCCCCCAGCATTTTTAGAAAGCAGGTGGGGGGGGGGTGCCCAGCAGGGCTTCTGATTGGCTGTACAGATTTTTTTTTTAAATTGCTTTGGCAGCAGCTGCCACCACTGCATAAGGATAGTCACTGCATGACTGAAGATAAGCCGTGTCCACACAAGAAAATATTTTAAATAATATGTTAATTTTAAAAGGCAGCCTGTTAAACAGAGCTTCTACCTGAAATGCTGAAGATTTATATATAACCTCCCTGACACTTTTGTGGTTGGCTCCGCCTTCTGCCGCAGCCATTTTGTGGTTGCACCCACTATCAGAATGTCAAAGGTGCCAACAAGCTCAAAAGGCTGGGGACCTCTGGTCTAGATGATAAAAGCTTTCTGAAAGTGACCATTCATCACTAGAAGCAAGATGGCCATACATCCGTCTCGTGGAAAGCAGCTCCAGTTTTTAAAAAAATTATTTTACCTCATTTATACCCTGCCCTTCTAACCCAGTGGGGACCAGTGTTCCCTCAAAGCTGAGTTAGTGTGAGCTAGCTCACAGTTTTTTAGCCTCCGGCTCACACATTTTTGTCTTAGCACAGGAAGGATGGCTCCAGAGCAAACTAATTTATGTGGCAGCCAAATCGCTCGCTCACAACTTTAATGCCAGTAGCTCACTCAGTAGAATTTTTGCTCACAGGACTCCACAGCTTAGAGGGAACATTGGTGGGGACCCAAAGGGGCTTACATCATTCTCCTCTCCTCCATTTTATCCCCACAACAACCCTGTGAGGCAATTTAGGCTGAGAGTGTGTGACTGGCAAGTGTGTTACTAAAGTAAAGATTCTACTTCCAGTACCTGCCTCAAACTTCCAGTTAACAGGAGGCATACCTTCCGATATCCAGGGCTCAGACCGTTTAAGGCTTTAAACAGCAAATCCAGCCGTTTGAGCTGAGCACAGAGACTGGTAACAAGTGCAACTCCTTAGGAGCCAGCCGGTATCTGGTCTGAAGAACCGCCTCTGGTCAGACTCTCTAATGCGTTCTCGACTGCTAGTAGTTTCTGAATGCTCTTCAGAAGTGAGCTCTTGGTCGCACAGGCTGAATGTGCAAAAGGAAAAAAGGGAGACCGTACCATGCCAGCTTTCATTCAGCTATGCACTGGTTATGCTTTCAGCAGACAGTCCTACAGCCTTTTACAGTCAGGTTGTGAGCTGGCTCTGCTAGTGACTCAGGCTACTCAAAGGGAGTTTCAGGAACAAAGCAGGAAGAGAGAAAAGATACACCTAGCTAAGTTTGCACTGGAAATATGTGAGACACGTGTATTTCCATCATTAGAAATAAATTTGCCAAGAGCAGCAACAGTTGCTACTATGATGTTGCTGAATTTACTTATTTTTTGCATCTAGCAACCTACTACTAACAAACAGCCTGCTAGAGTCTGTGGGCCTTTGGTCACATCCAGCAAGGGTCACATTCCTCATAGGCCTAAAGGTACTCATTTCACAAATGGCTGTGTAGTGTTTTGAATAGTTACAGTATTTGATGACCACCTGGTGGATTGCTGCTGTTGTATAGGGCTTCAGAGGCAACTCAGCACGAAGACATACCCCATGCATTACAGCTGTCCATGCATTACAGCCACTGAGAATGCTCTGTGAGACACAGTACTTACCTCTGACCTTCCTCCACAAAATACAGAGAAGTGATTCCGCTGTCCTTGCCCATGCCTTCTGTGAAGTACTTTGCCAAAGAGCTTTGTAGTTCAATCAGCTCATCTTTATCAAGTTTCTAGATATTCCAGAAATAAAAAGCGGGGGGGAGATAGTGGTTGGACCTCCTTCCAGGCTTGGAAGCTGTTGCTGTCATAGTGTGGTGAAGGGGAACACTATATGCAGACTTGTGCCTAAGAGCACACCCCTAAAGGCAAGCCTCTGTGCACCCCAGGGCACCCCTCCCTTTGAAAACTGTGCCCCTGAAGGTCTCACATTGTAGCTGCAAGAGCATTGAAACCTCTCCAGCAAGAGCAACTGAACCACGAACAGTTCTGGAACTGTATTCTTTATTATAACCCTGCAATGAAGACTGTTCCTTACTACGAAAATCCTACTCGGTACCTGAGGATTGAAATAAGCAATTGCCATGATGTGACCATTCCGGCTGGTGCGAACTGTTAGCTGTTTCCAGTGTCCGTCATAGGTTTCCGGGCTGTAGACGTTATAAGGTGTAGACCTGCAATGTTCAAAGCCTCCGTTACCAGACCTGAATTTAATACACATGCACAGCTGTGTAATACCACACACATTTCTGCTAAGATGCAACATTATAAGGAGACAGGTTCGGAGCATGAGCAAGAAACATTTCTTCTTGGCCTTTGACAAGAAAAGCTTCCAGACATCATGATCTCCAGATTATGATGTATACATGAATATCTTGACTTTTTTCATTGTGATTTCTTAAAATCACTTTGCCACAAATTTCTGTCTTTCACATTCATCGGATAATGAAGGACTCCATATACTGTCAGATTAACTGCACACTGTTCTAAAGTTTCCTTGCTAAGAAACTGGTACCTAATAGGAAGGGTCCTACTTAGATTTCTTTTAGCCTTTTTACATTTCAAAGGATCCTGGGGGAAGGGGGAGAAAGCAGGGGAAAGTTACCTGTCAGCTTCTGTTATTCAAATTCTCTTTATATCAGTTTTGAAGCAGAGGGGTGGGGGAGAAGAGAACTGGTTGAGACGCAGCTCCTTATCAGGAATATAACCTGATTAAAATCAGTGGTTTCAGATCTTTTAAAATTAGGAACACACTGCGATCTGTATTAACCCTAGCTAAGGGTCCCGTGGGAGTGCGTGATCTCACAATCCAACACTAATGCTAGTCAAGTATCAACACAGGAGATTTCTTATTCAGCCTTACCTTATGTAATCCCGAAAAGCCTTCACTACCTTTTTGGCAACCGCAGGAATGTGAACAGTCTCAAAGGGCTCCACGACCGCACACGTCCCGCCTTTGTATTTGCCAAGGCGGAAGCCCACGCTTTTATCTTCCTGGTTGGGCCCTATGCCAATCAAAAATTCACACTTGTTCCGATATTCAGTCTAAACACAACATAAGAGAAAGGTTAGGGCACTCCTCAAGAATTTGGTTTGCCACTTCCATCCTGAAACGTCTGTCATAAAACCTCCTGTCTTTATTATTACTCCGGACCAATTTGTATGGGCAGACCAACTATTCCAAGAAATTGTTTTTTAAAAACCTTACAATGAGAGGTTAGTACAAATGGTGCGAGTTTCACTTTTTTAAAACCTCAGTTTTCAGCAGTATTAAAGAGATTACCAGGAGATGTGCACGACAGTGGTTGTGGGGAGTTGAGAATATGCAACCTTTTCGGACTGAACACTGGGAGGAAAAATGGTAGCTATCCAAAATCAACCCCAGAGTCATGTCAGCATCTCAAGGGCTCACTTTGGGCACAGGTGGCGGCTTCACAGGTCTGGGAGGAGAAAAAGGATAAAGATACTCCCCCGTTGCTTCTCCAAGGTCATCACCCCCTGGGGGACAACCAGCAGCTCAGAGGATTGCCTCAGTTGCTCGGGAAGAGAACCAGCCCTGCATACGGGCCAAAGAAAAACGGTCTGGTGGCCACTGTTCAGGAAACAATTGGGGTCCACTGCCAACAATATAGCATTAAACCCATACTTAGAGACTAATGAAGGCATGGCCCTCATTTTTATTTACATAAAACAATATTACCTTTAGTACTCATGGTAGCTTACAAAAAAGAAGAAAACCTCAACCACATAACACCACTGAAGGTTCATCAGAGAACTAGCAGCAAGTAAGGAAGAACAGCAGCCTTCAGAAAGACAATGACTAGCTTTTATTCTGTGCCTGAAGGACAGAATGGAGGGCACCAAACAGGCCTCTTTGGGAAGTCCATTTCAGAAGTGAAGCCCGGCAGCAGAAAGATTCCTCCTTCCAGTCACCACCTGCTTCACAAAGACACAAGGACCTGGAATAGGACCTTTGCTGAACACCACGCACTTTTTACCTCACTTCACACTTGTGCCTTTTTTGTTAGCATGTTTTCAGGTTTGTCTGTTTAAAACCATTCATCTGGTTGCCTTTGACAAATGTGGCAACTGGGCAGAGGGGCTTCTGTATTTAAAGAGCTGAAGTACAATATATTTTTTCGTAGATCATGTGACTATTTATAGAATTATGCAACATCCAAAAAATGAAAAATGGAATTCTGCAGGAATTCTTTGATTTTTAATACAATGAATTAAAAGCCTTTAACACAGAATAATTTATTATTAAAATTTATTAAAAATACATAAATACAAACTGTTAATATGGTACACTGCACGTTGTAATTCATGCAAATTATGTATTATTTGATAGCTCTAAAAGATATATATGGTCCTGTTTGGATGAAGACTACGAAACGACTTTGTAATCCGGAAAACTTTGTTAACCTCACTGTTTGGAGGGCCTCTTCTTGCACCTGTTTATGATTTTGGATATCTTATGATATAAAATATATTTACTGTCATTGTTGATTTTGTTAATATCATTTAGCAGATATACACAGCTTTCATTGTTCTTCTCTATCGTTACTAGAGCTGTGGTTCTCTGGTTTTGTCTTCCTTGCCATGAAGTGCCACTCACAATTAGTACAGGAACAGGGAGGCCATTAAATAGGAGCTCCCGTCTCTACTTCCAGCTCCTGCCAACCTAGCAGTTCGAAAGCAAGAAATTGCAAGTAGATAAATAGGTACCACTTTGGTGGGAAGGTAACAGCGTTCTGTGCGCCTTGGTGTTTAGTCATGCCAGCCACATGACCACGGAAACATCTTCGGACAGCGCTGGCTCTTCGGCTTTGAAACGAAGATGAGCACTGCAACCCTAGAGTCGGATTCGACTGGCTTTCGAGCAAGGGAACCTTTACCTTTACTTTATTTCTGCAAGACCAAGATACAAACACACAGTCTTAATTTACAGAGGATTTTTTCCTACAGATCCAGAGCATTTCAGATGCTTTCTCTTCACAGTCCTTACAATGATCTTTTAAAAGATGACTGTCCCTTTGTTACTAACAAGAGGCCAAAAACATCTTGCTTTTAAAACACTTCCCAAGTTCTTGGCCAAGCTGAGATCTCAACCAGGGATGCTCAGTGCACAGCACATACCCCTACAGTGTAATCCTAAACAGAATTACACCCTTTTAATCTCATTGACTTCAATGGATTTAGAAGGGTGTAACTCTATTCTGGATGGCCCAGTTACACACTCTCTTTTCTCCTGACCAACATGAACATAATAATGAAAGTGGGGATTCTCTAGATTAAGCCCCAGAGAAGTCCTTCATCAACCACATGATGCAATAGTCACTCCTAAAGCAACACACGTCACCGTATTAAAGGAGCCCATCCAATAATTACAGGTTTCAATTGCTATACGTCCACCAAGGCATACTTTGAAGTAATCCATGCCTGTAATTCATCAAACTGTTATTATATGTAATATCACATTTCAAACAGCAATTTTATGCCCAACCTGTGATGGTGACGCTTTCACCCCTTCCAGGCAACAGCACAGACCATTGGACTTCTCCTTCTGCACGAAAAGCCAGGGTAGCAGAGCTTTGTTGTTGTTTCCAATTTCCCTGGGGGGGGGGGAGTTGTATTTGTTTATATTACATATTTGCATACCACTTGTTAGCCTTTATCACTCAGTCATAAAGCTTACGAATGTACAGGAGGGAAAAGACACTTCAGACAAAATAACCACTGGCGAAATCCTCAGCTAACATTCCAATGTATTTGAAAAAGTGTGCCTTGCACAAGAAAGCTCATACCCTGAATAAACCTCTGTTGGTCTTAAAGGTGCCGCTGGACTCTAAATTTGTTCTACTGCTTCAGACCAACACGGCTGACTACCTGGATCAACCACTGGGAAAAAGATCAACTGCACAATACCAACTGGATAGTTTCAGAGGGTAGTTGTGTCGATTTGCAGCAGAACAGCTAGATTCCAATCCACTAGCACCATAGAGACCAACAAGTTTTCTGGGGTGTAAGCTTTTGAGACTCAAAGCTCTGGTATCAGATGATGGGAGCTTTGACTTTCAAAAGCTAACACTCCCCAAACCTTATGCGTCTCTAAGGTGCTACTGAATTGGAATCTAGCAGCACAATGGCAAAAGAGGAATGACAAAGTTTCCCATCATGCAATCATTCAGTTGATATTTGCAAGAGTCAGCCCAACTTCCCCATTCCCATGCAACAGGCCAGAGTAGACTCCCCTCCCATTTGTTCATTATATCGGTAATACGAGGTTATAACAATCTCTCTCTTTGATGAAGGTATGCTGCAACATTGATACGGTCTAATAGTGAACTTTGTAACAGGATGTTACAGGACCACTCCCTTACTACTGCGGCCCGCCTGGACTTTTCTTGAGAATCTGGGATCCTGGGGCCCAATGCTACCAACATGCATCACCAGTACAGGGTATATATTAAGTCCAGATCCCATCCTGGTGAACTGGAGTGCCTCTGTCCCCTGCCCTCCCCTTGCATCTGCCACTTCTGGTAGCCACCAGCTCTTCACATACAGTTTCATATAAGAAAACATGGCACCAAAGTCTGAACACCAGCACTAAGAGTGGATGAACAGGTACTATCAACAGGTGGGAGAGAGAAGGAAAGAGAGATCCAGTTCTTGCTGTCCTGCTTATCTTTTCCACCTGAACTAGACATTTGGAAACATTGAGTTTAAAGGATACCTCCCACCCTTACACACAATCCCTCTTCAGCTAGCAACCCTACAGGTTCCAACACACTTTGATCACAGTTCAGCAACAGTGTGATAGTGCCATTAGCTACAAAGGCAGAAACTGGTGGTTTTGTTCTACTGATAAGCTAAGTCAGTATGATGCTGAGCATGTCTTCTTATAAGTCAGCCCTACCAAGATCAGTAGGACTTCCGGGTTTTAGGATTGCAGCCTTAATCAGACTCTGTTGGCTTAGCAGCTTGCAGACTCCGCTTGCCAACATCTCAAAAGTCTTGTGAAGGCAAATCAAACCATTCTTAAAACAACCAAAAACAGTCTTACCGTGTCAATTTTAACAGCACTTGCTCACATTCTTGCTGCTTCTTAGCCAGCTGTTCCTCATATGGTACGTTCCACGAAGGAGTCACCACATCTGCTATCTGCTTACTAATTGGCTCCTCTCTGCCATCTTTTGCCAAAGAGGGGCACTTTGCTGCTGTCTGCTCTTTTACCTCCCCCCCTTCCTCTTCCTCCTCCCTTCTTCTCTTCTTCATGATGGGATCAGCCTTTGGCTTTGCGAGTTTGACACTCAAGTTTCGGTTCTTCCACAGGACTCCGTGAAGGACCTTCATGGCTTTGTCTCTTTCCTCCTCACTCTTGAAGGTGACGAAAGCAAAAGTCTGTTTCCCCAATAGTTTTATCTTGTGAGGGTTAAGACCATACTTGGCGAGAAATTTCTTCACTTCATTAAAACCAATGTATTTGGGAAGATTCTGAATTTCTACTTTATAAATCTCCGATGTAAACAGGTCATCTTTAATATACCGGTACATGTCAGAAGTATCTGATGTATTCTTTTTGTAACTTTTCCCAGCATCTTCCTTAGCTGCCTTCTCAGTCGTGATTTCTGTTTTCACAAAAGGGATTGTACTTTGTTCATCAGCTAAGGAGGTGACATTGTTTTCTTCCATAATTTGAATTATCCTGGAAATAAACATTTACAGAATTAACTCTCTGTATTTTGTAGATGAGACAACCCACACATTGTCTCTTTTTGCTAGAACTGAAAAAAATGAAAGAATCTCAGAATAGGGCTTCCATTTATACATAAAAGACCATTTTTTCCAGCCTCAGTCAAGCAACATGAGCTTTAACATGTTAGTCTTATAAAGTCCTCTCTCTCTTACGGAAAAAAAAACCTTAATAAAATGGTAAGATTTATCCCTTTCTTTTGTCTCTTCAATGAAATCAGATTATTATGTTTTAACATCGGTGCCAGGGTTGTAACGAACATGCTGTTACTTGTATGAATCAATGTGCCTATAAACAACCATGATATAAATCAAAGTTAATCTTCGAACATAGATTCAGGTAGGTAGCCATGTTTATCTGAAGCAACAGAACAAAACTGGAGTCTAGTGGCACCTTTAAGACCAACAAAGTTTTATTCAAGGTATACCTTGAATAAAACTTTGCTGGTCTTAAAGGTGCCACGGGACTCAAACATCATTCTTCTTAATCTTCGAAGTGTAGTTGTTCACAGGTTCACGTCTGATGACATAATCGATAAAAAGGTGCCACGGGACTCAAACTTCGTTCTTCTTAATCTTCGAAGTGCAGTTGTTCACAGGTTCACATCTGATGACATAATCGATACCAGCAGAGTGGCTGTCTAATGCAATCCTATGCATAGTTAAGCCCTTCTACACTCAATGACTTAAATGGCCTGAGAAGGGAATAACTGCTTTTAGTCTGTCATAGCAAAAATCGATTCAGATGGGTAGTCCTGTTGGTCTGAAGTAACAGAACAAAATTCGAGTCCAGAGGCACCTTTAAGACCAACAAAGTTTTATTCAAGACGTGTGCATGCACACGAAAGCTTATACCTCGAATAAAACTCTGTTGGTCTTAAAGGTGCCTCTGGAGTGGAATTTTGTTCTATAGCAAAAATAAGATGGAGTCAAGTGACAGTCTGAACACTAACGTTGTATTCCTCCGGCATACCCTTTTCAGGGACTTCAGCCCGCTTCCTCAGATACGGGGTAGGGAGATGCAGATGTAAGGCAGCCCCGTTTGTGCTAAGCAAAAACCCCAGTGCAAAATCCACACGATCCCTTTTTATTCGGGCCGACCAAAACGACACAAAACAAGTGCAGAATCAGATGCGACGTTGAAGGCGGCACACAAAACCCCCCATCTTAGTTTTGCTGCCAGGGACTAAGCTCGGATACCCCTGTGACAGTAACCACGCCACGCGAAGGCGTGCGCTCAAACCCCGCACCACACTCCCTTTCGGAAGCGCGCCCCGCAACGAGCCTGCTAACCCGGAGCGACGTCCCTCTGCTCCTCTTCCCACCCCCCGCCCGCCCCAGACAGGCCATATAAGCCGCCACGAGATGGGCGGAAGGACAGCCGCCCGCCAAGCCCACCTTCTCTCCTCGTCCCCTCACATCCCCTTGGCGCGAAAGGCCCAGCAGACACCAAAACGCTAGAAACTCGAAGCGGCCAGGGGGCGGGGAAAAAACGCGTCACGTGTGGCGTCATCACGCGACGGCTGGAAAGACGTTACTTTCTCTTTGGCCTTTTTTTGAACAAAATTTGATTTTCAGCGAAATTCTTCAACGTTCGTCTCGTTTTTCCCTACTACAAAAGCGGAAAAATCAATCATAACTATATATTTTTTTTAATTCTCCAATTCTACCATCCGGCCAGGGCGCTGCTTCTTTCCCCATCGCCTCCCTTTGGCCACATGCGGGCGCCATTTTAAGTGACGGAAGACCCGGAGAATGTAGGTCATGTTGCCAGGCCCCGGCGCAATGGCTGATGGGAAAAACCCGGGAACTGAATTAGAGGCCCAAAATGTAGGCTGGCTGGGAAGACTCGTGTATATTGCCAACCTCCAGGTGGGGGCTCGAGATCCCCCACGGAATTACGACTGATCTCCAAACTACATGAATCATTTATTTCTTATTTATTTAAAACATTTATTCCAATTGTCTCGGAGAAAATGGCCAATTTGGAAGATGGACTTGATCAATGTTCCCTCTAAGCTGTGGAGTCTTCTGAGCAAAAACTCTACTTTATGAGCGACTAGCATTAAAGTTGTGAGCGAATGATTTGTCTAATGCATAAATTAGTTTGCTCTGGAGCCCTCCTTCCTGAGCTAAAACAAAAATGTGTGAGCCGGAGGCTAAAAAACTGAGCTAGCTCACCCTAACTCAGCTTAGAGGGAACAGTGGACTTGATGGCATTATACCTTCCCTCCCCTCCCCTCCCCAAACCCCACCTTCAAATCTACAAGTACTTTCAAATCCAGAGTTGGCAATGGCAACTCAATTGTACCATCAACTATATTGTTCTTCCAGGCATGTAGAGGTGCTATTATGTATATGTATATATACATAATATGCTATTATGTATATGTAGGGAGGGGATAATACTCAGCAAGTACCTTACATGGCTTGTTATAAGGGTTACCATGAGTTAATATGTATGTTCTAGATCAAATCAAGCCTGAACTCTCCCTAGAAGCTAAAATGACCAAACTGAGGCTATCATACTTTGGTCAAATAAGAAGAGTAATTGGAAAAGACAATAACACTAGCAAAAGTTGAATGCAGTAGGAAAAGATAAAAGCCTGAGATGGGTTAACTCAATAAAGGAAACCACAGCCTTCAGTTTGCAAAACCTAAGCAAGGCCGTTAACAATAGGACGTTTAGCTGGTCATTAATTAATTCAGTGCACTTTCCAATTGGATTTTACTGTGTGAACTGGCAAAATCCAGTTGGAAAGTGGGTTGAAAGTGGATTATTTAGTGTATGTGACCGAAGCCAATGTGTATGAAAGGGATCTGTCCAAAGGGATGTCGAGGATGGGCAAGTGGGCGTCAACATGGCAAATGGGGTTCAATGTGGCCAAGTGCAAAGTGATGCACATTGGAGCCAAAAATCCTAACTATAAATACATGTTGATGGCAGAGACTGACCAAGAGAGAGATCTTGGAGTCATTGTAGATAACTCCCTGAAAGTGTGGAGACAGTGTGCGACTGCAATAAAAAAGGCCGATGCTATGCTGGGGATTATTAGGAAGGGAATTGAAAACAAATCAGCCAGTACCATAATGCCCCTGTATAAATCAATAGTGCAACCTCATTTGGAGTACTGTGTACAGTTCTGGTCACCACACCTCAAAAAGGATATTATAGCACTGGGAAAAGTGCAGAAAAGGGCAACTATGGCTCCGGTCACACAAGAGGAATTGCCCTGCAGAACGAAGGGATTGAGGGTGGATTAAACTGGCGCGATCAGATGCCAACATCTTGCAAGCGTTGCACACCCGCCCCCAACCCGTCCCTTCCGGCCGAAGATGTGGAGTAAAAAAACCCTGTAAAACACTACTACCTACTGGAAAATCCAAGGCACAGGCGGCCATGTGATCACCCACGTGCCCGTCTCCCGCAGCATGCGAGGCCCCCTGCCGAACTGCGCAGGTGCACACATGTGCAGCTGACTCGCCTCACTCTCCTGTCCGTGGCTTCCCCCTCGCATTTGATCACGCTAGGGAGCATATGCGTGGTGGCTCGGGGGATCTGTCTGAGCCCACTGCCGTGCTTCTCTTTTGCTGCGGGCTCTAAAAAGCTGCACTTCCACCCCGGCTTTTCCTGCGGTGTGACCGGGACCTAAAATGATAAAAGGATTGGAACACTTTCCCTATGAAGAAAGGTTAAAGCGCTTGGGGCTCTTTAGCTTGGAGAAACAACAGCTGAGAGGTGACATGATCAAGGTTTATAAGACTATGCATGGGATAGAGGAGGAAGAGAAAGAAGTACTTTTCTCCCTTTCTCACAATACAAGAACTTGTGGGCACTCAATTAAATTGCTGAGCAGTCGGGTTAGAACGGATAAAAAGAAATACTTCTTCACCCAAAGAGTGATTAACGCATGGAATTCACTGCCACAGGAGGTGGTGGCAGCTACAAGCATGGACAGCTTCAAGAGGAAATTAGATAAACATATGGAGCAGACCACCAAATGAGAAGGGAACACTCACTGGAGAAGACCCTGATGCTGGGAAAGACTGAAGGTCAAAGAAGGAGGGGACGGCAAAGGATGAGATGGTTAGACAGTGTTATCGAGGCAACGAACATGAAATTAAGCAAACTCCAGAGCATGTTGGAAAACAGGAGGGCCTGGTGTGATGTGATCCATGGGGTTGCGAAGAGTCGGACTCGACTGTGTGACTGAACAACAACAGCAATTGAGCAGAGGTCCATCAGTGGCTATTAGCCATAGATAGGAACTCTCAGTCTGGGGCAAGTGATGCACTTGGGGGGGGGGCAACAGTGGGAGGGCTTCTAGTGTCCAGGCCCCACTGCTGAATCTCCTGATGGCACCTGGTATTTTTGGCCACTGTGTGACAGAGTGTTGGACTGGGTGGGCCATTGGCCTGATCCAGCATTGGCTTCTCTTATGTTCTTATGTTCATTCAGCTTAGTATTACTAAGGTGATAGTAATACTAGCCTACCTTCCAGGTCAGCTGTAAGGAATACAAGCTTATATGTGGGAAAAGCTTTGAACACTCTTAAGCACTATAGAAATAAATTGTGAATATTATACAAGCAAACGTGTTGCAGCTGTGCAGTTATACTTGGAAGTAAGCACCATTGAATTAAGTGGGACATGCTTCTCTGGTGGTAAGTACAGAGGAAGGACTGTGGCCTTAAGATCCTTTTGCATGGATTTACAGTGCTATCCTAACCAGTTATAGTTACACCATTTTAAACCCACAGATTTAGAAGGCTATAACTCTGCTTAGCATGATTAACTGCTGTTTACAATGCAATCCTATGCATGTTTAATTGGAAGCAAACCCCACTAAATTCAATAGCCTTGCTTCTCAAGTAAGCACACATACAACTGCAGCCTTAAGACTCCTTTGCAAAAACATATTGGTAGATTACTGAAACTGACAGAGCTTTAACTCAGCAACCTGTGCTCAGTGAGGCTTACTCCCAAGTAAACACACTGAGACAATGCATGTGCTTCCTTAGGGATCTGAAGAACACATAAGATTCCTTGCATCTGAGGAAGTAAAAGCTCATGTTGAAATATATTAATCCTTAAGGTTCTACTGGACTCCTATGTAATTTTGCTTCCATAAGGACTATTCTATCATGTCTGAACCATTATGTTCTCTACCACTCTTTTTACTGATGAAGGTTTATGGAGAATTCAAAAGCATGCAGGCCATTTTATGGTACACACACAATTTTGTTTACAAGGGACTTAAAGACCTTTTCATAAAAGCAATTACATCTTAGGCAACAAAACTGCATCTGAAGAAGTGGGTGAAAGAGGTCCACAAAAGCAGATGTCAGAATAAAATTTTGGGAGCCTTTCAGGTGCCCTTGCTACCAACAGAGTGTTTTCTTTTTGGTTTGTTTTTACTGCAACTGACCAGCAGTGCAATCCTAAGAACGTTCATTGGAATAAACCCAAATCCTACCTGAGTAGGATTTCTGAGTAGATCAGTTTAGGAATTATTAAGAGCCAATCTTATGCCACAGTAACAGTGCAATCCTAAACACAGATCTCCACTTCTGCTCTACTGTGTCTCACAAAGGGAGCTTTGACTCTTGAGAGCTGGTATCCTGAAACTCCTGTTTGTCTCGAAGGTACTACTGGACTCTGGAAACATAGTCACACCTTCCTAAATCCCTTGACTTTGATGGATGTAACTCTATTCAGGACTGCACTGTAAATCCTTGTGCCACAAGCTCCTGTGTGTCATTCCAGACAGGTAGCTGTTTTAGTATGCAACATTAAAATAAAATGGCAATCTAGAAGATTGGAGAGCCAGTTTGGTGTAGTGGTTAGGAGCGTGGACTCTAATATGGGAGAACCGGGTTTGATTCCCCTTTCCTCACATGCAGCTGCTGCTGTGACCTTGGGCCAGTCATAAATTCTTTCAGAGCTTTTCTCTCAGCCCCACCTATTGTGGGGAGGGGAAGGGAAAGGGATTGTAAGCCACTCTGAGACTCCTTTGGGTAATGAAGGGCAGGGTATAAATCCAGTCTCTTCTTCTACTAGTAGCATTCAGCGATGTGGCTGGAAAACTTTCAGTAGAAAAAAATCTCAGAAATTTCCCCACTGCCCTATTTTTCCAATGCTAAGTTTTTCTACACCACATATGTACATACAGTCTGATTACCTGCTGTTGTCAGGGTTGTGCTGTAAACAGGCGATTTAGATGGACTGGGGGGGGGAGAGATGAAGCATGGACAAAATCCTGTTTTTTAACATGGTCCAGGCTTGTACCTGGTACATTTGCCTTCTTTCGCTAACATTATTTAAACTATTTGGTATCTGAAGAAGCGTGCGTGCGTGCGTGCATGCATGTGGAAACTTATACCCAGAAAATTTTGTTGGTCTTAAAGGTGCCACTGGGCTCAAACTTTGTTCTGCTGTTTCAGACCAACATGACTACCCCACTTGAAATTATTTAAACTATTTATTTTAAATATGAATTGGAAAATTTTCTGATTGAATTTTTTCTGGAAAATCCACCTCAGTGGATGGCAGCCTGGAGACATTTATTCCAGCATAAAGTTGTGTTGGCATATTGTATTATATGTATGCAAGATGACAGCCAATGATGCACACATGTCAGATTAAACTGATCTGGGTGACAGGTAAGACTGTCATGTGACAGGGTCACCAGATGCAAGTTGCACTATGTTGCATCAGCTAATTAACTATGTCACCATGAGTTGGCAAAATGACTCTGATTGGTGCAAGTACTGTATATATGTAATGTAGTCCAGAGGCAAGCGTTCCACACCAGTGGAAGAGTGTATTGCGAAGCACCTTGTCGGTCAGTTCTATGAACCTGGGATACCGCATGGTGGAAAGGACTGTGTAAATAACTGTAAATAAAAGCCACTGTATATAGCTCAGATACAGCATCCTGATATCATTATTATTCAGACGTTCTGCGCATGCCGTCAAGTTGTGTGCCATTGGAGTCCTGCTTAATACATGTCTGAGAGAGAGAGTTTGGACCTCCTAAAAAAGTTACTCACCTGAGGTTATTTGAACTATTTATTCCAGATGTGAATTGGACATTTTTCTGATTAAAAATTTCCCGGAAAACCCACATCAGTAATGGCACCCTGGAGACATGTATTCCAGCATAAATTTGCGTGAGTATCCTGAAGCAGCCACTGGAGTCCTGCTTAACACATGTTTTAGAGAGAGACTTTGGACCTCCTCAGAAAAAGCACCTTCGCTTTCGGAACGCCCTTGAGGAGTAAACCCCGCTGAGCTGGAGGGTGAAACAACCACAGAGAGAGCCTGCACACACTGCCAGAGAATAACCTGACCCTCCTTCTCTTGGCCTATATTTTCTCCCCAGCTCCCGGGCGGGAGACGGGAAGCGAACTCAAGGGGGAAGAGAAAGTCAAGAGTCCAATGGCACCTTTAAGACCAAACCGGCTCCCCGCCTCGAGGGGGAAGAAGAAGCCTCCTTTTCCCATCATCCCTTGCAGCAACGGCGCGGGCTGCGGGAATGAGGTAAAAGTGGGCGGGGGCGGCGAGCGCGAGCGGAGGCCAGCAGCGCCCAGGCGGAACGAGGGCAACGCAGCCGGCGAACAGGCCGCACCGAAGCGAGCGCCAAGAAGTCGGAGGAGGGGGAGAGACGGGAGCCGGGCCCAACCGCCCCGGGAACCAGCTCAGCCAACCCCATCTCCATTTCCACGCCGCCTCAGCAGCAGCGCCGCCGCCGCCATCTCTTGCTCTGCCCCGCCATGGCCGAGACGAAGGTGAGGCGAGGGAAAGCGGGACACAACCCCGGGCCGGGGGGGGGGGAGAAGGAGAGATTCGAAATCAGGCCCGCGCTGAGAGTCCCCGTCCCCCGAGCCCTGCGCTTACTCCATGGCTGCGCCGCCGCCTCCTCATCTTTTTTCCTCAGGGGCGATTCTCCTCGCTCACGAGCCTGAAATAAACGCAGGGGGGCCTCCCGGGCACGCGCGGGGCCTGGTAGGCATTTTGCTCTCCCATCCCCCCCCCAAAAAAAAAACCATGCGGAATTGCAAATGTTACGGAGAAAAGGCAAGGCCTCGGCCGCCGCCTTGCGTCCCCCACCCCACCACACACGCGGCCAGCAAGGCCGCTGTGGCAACGTGTGCTGCGCGCGATTCTCGTGTGCTGCTGCTGCTGCTCTTGGAATGTGGGGCTCCTTAACGGTTTTTTTTAAAGAGGGGGGGTCTCTTTTATCTCCGTTCCCACCCCGTGCTCTAGAAAACACGCCCTATAGGGGTTTGGGTCGCTTAAATCTGTTTAAAAAACAAACAGCCCTTTTGTGGCGAAAGGGTTCGAAGACCCTACAGCTGAAGCGGAGATTTCTCTGGAAAATTCGGGCAGGGAATCCTGATGGCATTTGCTGCCGGTGCAGTTTATTGTGTGGGGACGGCGGCGACTGTACGTGTGGGTTAAATTCGGCCTGTTGAACCGTTTAGGAGAATGCATGCGCTTGCATGGTGGTCGGGGTGGGTTGGTGGCCTTGGTAAAAGATACCTGTGCCTGGGGGGGTTGCGTGGGTTGAAACATCTACCTGCAGCCTCTGTGCAATTAAAAACACGTGCGTGTGCTGAAGAAGAAAATTAATGCTCTTTTTTTTCTCCCCAGGGAGGTAGCCTGGCAAAATACACATACTTACACACAGAGCCTTGTAGCACCGACCAGAAAGATTTATTGAACCGTAATTGTAGGCCTTGTAGCAAGATAGAAAATGCTGCATGTGACAAAGTAGGATGCATTATGTGAAATCTTTTGCCGCAATACATCTGTTTTTAAGGGGACACAGCACCTTATGTGTGTTCTCCCCCACTCCCCAAATCTCCCCCTGCTGTTCAGGATGGGGAGAAGCAGCCAGCCCCACGTGTTAAGTAGCTCATTCATGTCCTGCAAAGTAATTGGGCGGGAGATGATCTCTTTGCTCATCACTTGTTTCATTTTCCTCTTAACAGTATTCCTTATTGTTAGATGTAATAATTCCTAAGGCAGTATGCCTAGTCGCTTGGAGTGCTTCTCTTTAGTATTCTTCCAGCTTAATTCCTGTATGCATGTTGCTCAAAAGTTTATCTAAAGTAATTTTACATAGAATTGCAGCACTGGATGCTTGCTTTCTTTTCTAGCCATTTCTGTGGATATAAACATGTAACAAGCAAAACACCGGAAGCTGTTTGGTCTTGATGTAATAATGCTCTTGCTTTAACAAGTTTGCTGTAACACAGCTGGAGTTTTGTAAATAACCCAGATTTGTTCACTCCCTAGAACTGTTGTGCTGAGCTACAAAATGTTAAATGAATTTTCTGTTGGACTGCATTTCTGACTCTTTTAACTTTATATGGCTACAATAACAGTGGCATCATCCAGCCATGTGGATTAAAATGTACCGTGTTCTGTACCCTGAAAAATGTGGACAGTGTTATCTTAAGTACATTTTGAAACTTTCCAAATCTGCTTAACCAGACAACCATTGAAAAGGACTGAATCTGGGCATACAGTGCAAGAATAAATTTGTCTGAACTTGAAAACCTCCAGGTTCCATTTTTACACACTGTTGTAGCGTGACAAAACTGACAGAGGCATATAAAATTACAAACGTTACAGTGAAAGGATACAGACTTCTCCCTATTAAACTAAGACTTTAGAATCACTCAATGGAATTGTTGTAAAAGGAGATAATTTCACAAAACACACTTTTGAAATTGTGCCACATAATGATGGTCACTGATGTAGTTGGGTTTAAAAACCATTAAGGTAAATTAATGGGAAGTAGGCCTTCACCTATCTTTGTTGAAAGCTGTTGGAGCTTCAGTGGTCAGTAGCACTGTACACACTGGTCAATACCATGTTTTCCCGAAAATAAGACACTGTCTTATATTTATTTTTTCTCAAGAATACACACTAGGGCTTATACCACAAATGCATAGAAATCCTGCTAGGGCTTATTTTTTGGGTAGGTCTTATTTTCAGGGAAGCAGGGTAGCACAAATGATTGTGGGAGCTGTTGCCTTCCTTCTGTGCTTGAAAATAGAGATGTGACCCTCTCTGATTCAGCAGAATAGCTTTTTTCTTTAAAATACTGCATTGAAACATTTCAGAAGCATCTGTATGGTAATGTGTATGTGTGGTATATATGTCCAAAGCTTTTAATTTGTTGTAAACCACCCAGAGAGCTTCAGCTACGGGAGGTATAGAAATGAAATAAATAATACTAATATATATTAGTTTATAAATAACCAGACACATTAGCATCCTCAAAATCCTAGTTAAAATGTGCTTATTCCTAGTTGTAATTATGAACAGCTGCAGAGGTTGAAGTAAAGCATAGTTAATATTACAAACCTGGGAGGCTAGGTGGGGCTGGGATTCATTTCTTCCTGCAGATCCCGGTCTCCCATGAGAATCTAAGAACAATTTCTATGTCCCCTTTAACTGGCTGTTATGACCATGAAAGATGAAGATACACAAATTTTCAGAGATACAGACTTTCTGGTCACAACTTGTACTGCTTCTCTAAATGCATCATAGTCTGGATGGGTGGAGGTAAGAGAACGCAGACAGGCCTGATTACAGTGTTCTCTGGTATGGGCTGTGTTGATGTCATTTTGGCACTCAGATCAAATAGAGGGTAGAGCCTATATTAGTCCTGGATCTGTCTTGTCAGCACAGCTATGGATCTATATGGAGGGGACATTGTGTTTTTGGTAGGTGGGGATCTGTTATAGGCAGAAATCTGAAGGTTAGTAATGTGTCAGCTAATGTTTTTGAAAGTGTCAGCTAAGATATGCAACAGCTTTATAAATTCATGAATGAGCAAACTGTATATACTTATAATATTGGATAGTAAAATAATGGATTCCAGAATGCAGTAGAGAAGTACAGTTAGTCAATTTACTACTCAGTAAAAGGTGTCTACATAACTTGTTACACATTCTCAGAAATATTACATATTCTCAGAAATTGTGCAGTTCGGTTGTAACCATTCTAAATGTACTGCTGGTGGCCTGTTGTGTTGAAAATATAATGGACCTTTAGGAGAATATTTGGAAGAGCCAATTAGCAGTTTTGTTTTTAGCACACCTTATATATTACGTTGCCCTAGAACAGCCAGGTTCTTAGCAGATAAGGTGGCTGAAGTGTTTTTGCACAGCTTCGGCTGATGAGTCCACTGTCGGTTTCTGGTTCAGTCAGATCTAGCCACAGTGATCGATGCCGTAGTTACATCAAGACTGGACTATTGTATTGAGCTCTTATTTGGAGCAACCCTTGAAGGGTGTTTGGAAACAGCAGCTAGTGCAGAATGCTGCAGCTTAGACCACTTGTCAAGGCCAACTCCCAGGAGCATGTGTCCCCAATAGTACAGCAATTGCTCTGGCTACTGATCTGCTCTGGAGCCCAATTCAAGGTGTTGGGTTTGTCCTTTAAAGCCCTACATGGCTTGGGAGTGGAGTGTCTGAAGGACTGTCTTCTCGTTCTTGCCTTAGAATTACGATCGTAGGGAAAGGCCCTCCTCTCTGTTCCAGCAATCAGAGTAGCTTGTCTGGTGAGCTCACAAGAGAGGGCCTTTTTGGTGGTAGTCCCAGGATTTTGGAACAATCTCCCCAGGAGGTTCACCTGGACCCCCTTTGCTTTTCAGTCTTCTGGAGGCAGTTGAAGACAGGTTCTTTAGGTCTGCGTTTGACTCATTTAGTTTTTATTGGCAGTCCTAATTGGGAAATTTTAAGCTGGGGTCTTTATTGTATCTTTATGAGTGTTTTATTTATATTGTAAGCTGCCTTGAGTTCTGCAAGGTAGAAAGGTGGCAAGTAACTGTTTAAAATTAAATAAATACTCTTTCCACAGGAAGCGCATGAGGAGCATGACGCAGCAACTGACAATGTAGATGATTCTAACCATGACCCCCAGTTTGAGCCCATAGTTTCCCTTCCTGAACAAGAAATCAGAACTCTTGAAGAAGATGAGGAAGAGCTCTTTAAGATGTAAGTAGAATGATGGTGGTATATCAGTAATTCTCAGGCTCTGTTTTGGCAGAGGGTACTAATACAATGTGTGGAGTAAGGAATCCTAAAAGCCATGGATGAGGCTGTCCAGGATGTCTCTGTTTGATTCACTACTCTGTCATTACCTATTTCTAAGATGAGGTGGGTAATTCTGCCTCTTCTATTTTGGTTGTGATTGGATCATTCACCTATTCATAATTCAGAGGTTTGGTGGAACTTCCTGCCTTTGGTGGAGGCTTTCCATTGTATTTCTGCATGAATTACTACTCTGGGCTGCCTTCTTTTATCTATCCAGGGATAGATAATTCTGTTTTGTCTTATGGGTAATGTGAACCTAAGCTGAAAGTGTCAGTCAAGATGTAAACACCAAAAATATGCTTTCAAATGTTATGTATTTTAGTGTTGGTCTTTGACCATAATAAATTAATTCAATACTTTCAGTTTTTAAAGTGCCAGTTACATTTTGTTTTTGCTCTTGCACTGAAAGCTTAGTCTAAAACCACAGAACACCAGCATTCTACTTACAGGATTGTCTTAATCATTTGATTTTGCTTTGATGCCTTGTGTACTTCTCAAACACATCCTTCACATTGGCACTGTTAGTAAAATACAAGCGCTTTTATATATTGTAGTTTTATCAAATTCATTCTTTTAAATTAAGGCTCGCCGCACCCTATACTCTTAGACATTTTAAAAGCGAACCTTTCCAGGTGTAAGAGTAAAGTGTGCCTCAGTTTTAGTTTAGAGTGACCGCGTTTCTTGTCTGTCAGAAGTTGGAATTGCTACAGTGGCTTTTCTAGGCTTAAACTTCAACAGGGTTTGTTAAAGGCTGTCAGGCTGAGCTGCAACCAAAGTAATATTAAGTAAAATAGTGCCTAGACTATATACATATGAAAGTGTTGTTGGCTTTGGTTTTTCCGCATCACCTGGATGCCTCCATCTTAAACCAAGAAGTTTGCTACTGATGTCCTAGTATTGATTTAGGACAAAACTTGTATGAGGAAACGCTAGTGGAGAAACCTATGATGGGATGTCATGTCACCTGGAGAGAGGCTAATAGACATCCTTCAGCATAATCTCTGGATTGAAGTTCTGCATAGAAACTAATTCATGGCTTTTTCTCCCCCCCCCCCCAAAGGCGTGCAAAACTGTTCCGGTTTGCATCAGAAAATGACCTTCCAGAATGGAAAGAGCGTGGCACTGGTGATGTAAAACTCCTCAAGCACAAAGAGAAGGGGACCGTTCGCCTCTTGATGAGGAGAGATAAAACCTTAAAAATCTGTGCAAATCATTACAGTATGTGATTTGGTACACTGTCTTTCTAGTACAGTATACCTATTAAATTCATGTATGTATTTATGTACAGTAAAAACAGACATATCTGACCTAAGGAAGCCAAATGTACATGAGGCTTGGAGAGCATGACAAACAGGTTTCTGTGAGAGGTGCATGTGAAGAAAACTTTTCTATACATAGAACTAGTACACTATACCTATTAAATTCATGTATATATTTATGTACAGTAAAAACAGAGACATATCTGACCTAAGGAAGCCAAATGTACATGAGGCTTGGAGAGCATGACAAACAGGTTTCTGTGAGAGGTGCATGTGAAGAAAACTTTTCTATACATAGAACTAGTACACTATACCTATTAAATTCATGTATATATTTATGTACAGTAAAAACAGAGACATATCTGACCTAAGGAAGCCAAATGTACATGAGGCTTGGAGAGCATGACAAACAGGTTTCTGTGAGAGGTGCATGTGAAGAAAACTTCTTTCTATACATAGAACTAAAATGTTTGCCATGCTTACACAGCTGCAGCAGAAAGGGGTCAAAAAGTTATTAGAAGCCCTGCATATCAACACACAGAACCCGGATCACCCTATGGCCCAAGCAGAAAGGCTATGTAAGCTACAGATGGGGGGGGGGTACCATTCTTTGCTTTTCAGGATTTTGGGGGAGACATACTTCAGTTTCCCAGGGAACCTGTCTGTGGCTTACAGAACATTTCTGACCTGAAATAAAATGTGCACAATAAATAGAAATGGTGACATGGAATAATACAGTCTGAACTGTGGAGCAGCTCTGCAAAGAATACAAGCACTAAAATAGTGACAAAGTATTGGGGTGCAGATATGCATGGATAGTATCCAAATCACTGTGTACTTGTTCATATGTCAAGACTAGAACCTCAGCTAACAGTCTTGTAAAGGTGCTAACAAGGTATATTTCTGGGATAGAGTTATGTATTTGTTGTAGTAGTACCTGTGCCCAGGCAGTTTTATTCCCCTTCTTTTTCTCCAGTTACGCCTTTGATGGAGCTGAAGCCGAATGCTGGGAGTGACAGGGCATGGGTGTGGAATACACATGCTGACTTTGCAGATGAGAGCCCCAAGCCAGAACTTCTGGCAATTCGTTTTTTAAATGCAGAAAGTAAGTTACAAAGCTATTTAATGTCACAGTGTGTTTGTGTACATAAACTGTATTCTGTATTGCATTTTATTCTCCTAGTGATTGTTCCCTGTTAAAAAACAGGCCATCCTGTAACAATGGACGCTTTGACATGCAAGGCTGACTGTGGCAACAGAAGCATGTCACATTCCAAACCACTGACTTCTAGAAACCAGCCAGCGTTGAAGGAATAGGGCTAAGAATTATGATGGGCTACAGTAGGCAGATACAGTGCTCCCTCTAAGCTGTAGAGTCTTGTGAGCAAACATTCTACTTTGTGAGCTCCTGGCATTAAAGTTGTGAGCGAGCGATTTGACTGCTGCATAAATTAGTTTGTTTGGGAGCCATCCTTCCTGAGCTAAGACTAAAATGTGTGAGCCAGAGGATCAGAAACTGTGAGCTAGCTTCTACACTAATTCAGCTTAGAGGGGATCACTGGAGAGGTAGGGAAAAAATGGTTGATTTCTCTTGTTCTGTACCATGTTTGCTTTTGCACTGATAGGACTTGAGACCCCTTTCCAGCTAAATCATGAGGTTTTGTATTATTCCATGTCTTCTGTGACTGTATCTCTTTTCCTGCTCTTGTTAGTCCCTCTCTCTTACTCAAACTTTTATCAGTGTCCTGGCCTTCCATGAAGTATGTCTAGTAGTGAACAATTTTGGGCCACATTTTGGGTCTTTGAACAGCCTCATATTTGAAACTTTGAGTCAGCTGTGGGTGTGTAGTGTCAGTGTTGAGTTGTGAGCTGCATCAGTTCCTGACAAGCTTATAGCTGAATTTTGCTGCAATAATTGAGATAACATTTGAAGCATTTCAGGAAATTTTATCCAAAATCTTAACATCGCTTAATGTATATTTGGTGTATTTTATTACTATTCAAAATACAGTCTTTAATTTAAGCTTTTTTTGTATTTGGGTGCTTGCACATTCTTTTTTGGGGGTGGACATCTTGCGTACTGTAGTTTTGTCGCATGTAGGCCATTAAGATGTGGGAGAATGTTCGGGAGCATGCAGACCATCTTTAGTCTGGGCATTTTGTGAAACTTAAAGCAAGGGGAGTTAACTGTACACAGCCCTTCTAAGTAAATTGTTCCTTCTAAGTTTCTAGACTATCAGCTTAATGTAGTACTTGAAATTAAAAAAAATAGGCTTTTCCTGATAAGTGAAATGTGAGCTGCTTCGGACTGCCTACCATTGAACAACAGTGACCTCCTGTGGCCATGTAGGCTGGCGGTGTAGCATAACAGTAAACTTGACAAGTCACATTTTTGAAGGATGTGCTCTTACTATATAAGAAATCCTAATGTGTATAAACCGTTTTATGATTATTGAAATCTTAAGCATTAGGGCATGGGTGTCCACTGCATTTGCTTGCAGAGAAGAGGCAACTTGCAGTTGGTACTAAAAATCGTGAGCCTCCATGAAAGATGCCTTTCAGGAGACATCACCTTCCTGCATGTGCAGTTGGAAATTACCATTCAGTTTTTGTACAGGTGTGTTTACCCAGGCAGTTTGAGATACTAGAAATAAACATCTTGAGTGGCTAGATCCATTGCACTGTACTTGACTGTGTTGCTTTCTCAAACAGATGCACAGAAATTCAAGGCAAAATTTGAAGAATGTAGGAATGAAGTTGATAAGAAGTTAAAGAAAGGTAAGAAATTATTCTTGCCTTTTTGTTCTGGTGAAGGAACACTACAGTGAGTACTGAGTCCAAATGACTGTTGATGCACAGTGCATATACGGTCAAGTATTAGAGACTTTCCTCATACTAGTGTATGTGTTTCTGACTGCCCAGTTTTTCAGCCTCCTAGGATTTCTCTCCTTTATGGAAAAAAAAATTACAGGCAGGGAAAGTTTGTGTGTCCAAAGCGATGCATCGCAATAAGTAAAAAGCAAAGTGTACGGATTTTTATCTGCTTTTTTAAAATAAATGAGTCAGCTTTCAGATTGTCTATTAAAATTACATGTATGAGCTTGCAGGAAGATGTTAGTAAGGTGAAGCAAAGCAATGACCAAGTATGCTGTTCAGTGTGGTCTGGTTGGGACTTCCTCTTAAGCAACCGTAGTGTGCTCAGTGCCCACGGTTTACATATAACAAGTCTTCATTGATTGTTTGTCTGCAGGCTCACTCTGTGCTTGACTGCAATATTCAGTCAAGGTGCTTTTTAGGCCTGCTAGAGTGATGATCCAGGATACTGTGAACACTTCTCTACTTGTGGAAATCTGTTTCAATTGATCTTGGCACATTTTAAATATCAGAGGCTCTTCTTAATATTCTGCACTTCTAAGTTACTTTTGTAAAGTAATCTGTTTCAGAACAACACTAAGTAGAAAACTACCCATTTCAATTTAGTTGTGCCATAGATGGGTATTAATACAGTGGTGGGATGTTCTGAAATGCTCATAGTTCCTTGCACGTAATTCTCTTGTCACAGTGAAATCCCTGCCACATATTGAAATTAAATCACTCTTAGCTGTTATTTCTGAAACTTTTTGAATGACTGGATAAAAATTCAGCTTTTCTTGAGTTCACAGTCACAGAGGGTTGTATCTAGCCAACTTTCTCACTGTATCTCACATAATTCTTCTCCCTACTACAGCCCCCATCCCACATGGCTTTTGTCCAAGCAGTTCCCAACATAGGATTTTTGGTGGTCAAATAGAACACACTTCTCTTTTTAACAGTGGGAAAGCTGGTTGGCTCCTGTTTTTAAATTGTGGAGTGAGATGTTGAGCATATAGAGACACATTGAAAGACGTATATACATTATGGAATCTAAAAAGCTGAAAGTTCCAGAGCAAGCAGATGAAGGGAACATGATGGGTGGCAGCGGTATAGTGTCTGCACTGATTGTCTTGAGTTAATACAGTAGCAGAGGCCAGGTCCACAGAGGCCAGTTTGGTGTAGTGGTTAAGTGTGTGGACTCTAATCTGGGAGAACCAGGTTTGATTCCCCACTCCTCCACTTGCAGCTGCTGGATGACCTTGGGCAAGCCATAGTTCTGTCAGAGCTGTTATCTCAAGGACAGTTCTCTCCGAGCTCTCTCAGCCCCACCTACCTCACAGGGTGTCTGTTGTGGGGAAGGGAAAGGAGTTTGTAAGCCACTCTAAGACTCCAAGTGAAGGGGGGGTATAAATCCAATCTCTTCTTCCTCCGTGGACATTGCGCTGTAACAGTTGTCCACACATTGAATTGTGCTCAGCCAGGAAAACCCCATTGCAAATGATTGCTATGGCAGGACTATAATATAATATCCAGTGATGTGAGGAAGCAACCTACAGCAATAATTTTTTTTATCTAACTCCTGTATCTTGCTATATTTAGACCCTGCCGTTTCTCTGAAGAACACAGGGTGTCTAAATGCGGGCTTATTCCATTTTATCACACCAACTCAGAAAGGTGGGTTAAGCAGAAATATTGTCTAGGGCCATTGTGTAAGTGACAGTCGAGCAGAGACTTGAACCTAGGACTCTTTGCTTCAAGCCATGCTCTCTTGCATTTTTATAACTTTCTTTCCTGGTATCTTGAAACCTCTTTTAGCAGGAGCAGACAAAAATGATAGCGCTGATAAAGTTGCTGAGAAATTAGAAGAACTTTCTGTAAAGGATGAGAGCAAAGAACCTGAGAAGAAAGAAGTGAAGGAGGAAACTGAAGAAAAGCAATAAATCATCTTGGGCCTTGTATTTTTTTTCTTTTTCTTAACTTTTTTAATTTTTACAAGGGACTTTATAAAGAACTGTATTCCAACATTCGAAGTTTTTTTCTAAGCTTTTGCCCTTTTTGAAGAGATCTTCAGAAAAATCCATTCCCCCAGTCATGAAAATGTACTGTGCTAAACTTTCTTTTCCATAGTGGAAACACTTATTTATAGTCATCCAAGAGAGTGAATAAAGCTTTGAAAAATGGTTATCAGCGGACAGAACTGAGTTTTTCTATATGCTTCAGATGTATGACTGCAGTTCTTACATTTTGGGTTTCTATTTTTGAGTGCATATCTTTAGATGAAATGTGGTATAACTGATTCTTACCAATAGGAAAGGTGCAAGTAATAAAGATGTTTCTTGTATGTTGTGTCTGAAAGCTGTAATGACTGAAACAAGATACTTTTAATGCTGAGATTTGTTTTCCCTTGTCATTAAAACCTAGAGTGGCCAGCTATGTAAATCTTTGATTCTCCGCTTGAAATAACTGTATTTTATTTTGAGGTGTGCTCGTTTAATTTTTTTCCTGTTCTTTTCAAAATTCTAGTACATACTGTTAGCTACGCAGTATTTGCTGTGTGATGTTTGACTCTTACCCTTCAGACATCCACAGACAGAATATCTCTGGAACTTTCTTATTAGAACAGGGGAAATACCTCAACCATTCTTCCCTTTAAAGGACTCTTGCCAGTGTATTTGGTATCAGTGTATTTGAAGGTTAAAGGGTCTTCTCTGTCTCTCTTCAGATACCCCCTTGTGAAAAGCCACCATAAGTGGATTCTTATATTGTCAAAGGGAGAGGTGATGCTCACCAAACTAATTTCAAAATAAATTAAACTTAATCATTGTTGACTTGATTTAGTTCTTGAAACCATCTTGAAACAACAAGAAGTCATTTTTGCAGAAAAAGAAGGTACAGCATGCTGAATCAGTCTGTTGCAAATGGCAAGGCCTTTTCCTCCAGGCCTTAAATGTGTGACCTTGAAGGATGCCTGCCCACTGCCCCTGTGATGAAACCTTCACCCTTGATTGTTCATGCATCTTCCACAAAATTTTGGGTACTTCTTGCAATTTGCTACTGAAGTCAATGAGAGCTCATTTGTTGCACGCAAACCTGGAGCATTTTTTTGCATTGAATGAGGGGGAAGGGAGCAGTGTTGTACTATGCTCCATTAAACAGGTGGAAGAGTTCTGGGGTTTGTTTGCCCTAGAGTTTGCCCAACTTGTCCATCAATAGTGTATGCTCAGTATCATGTCTTTCTCTGATTTGTTTCCGAATTGGACCAAAGCGATACTGCTAACTGTATTTGAGTAGTTCCTCTAGAACTATAAATGTTTAAACTTCTCTGTGAAAAAAGGAATTGGAGTATATTCAGTGAAATGTAATTAGGTATGCAGAATACCTTTTTAAATTGGAAATTAGTATCATTCTTGGGATTCAGGTACTACAAACTAAAGTGACTGCCTGAAGTTCCATCTCGTGGGGTTTTCAAGGCAAGAGATGAGCAGAAGTGGTTTGCCATTGCTTTCCTCTACAATAGCGGCCCTTTTTTCCCTTGATGGTCTCCCGTCGAAGTACTGACCCTGCTTAGCTTCCAAGCTGTGGAGAGATCAAGCAAGTCTGGGTTATTAGGGCCAGCTGCTGGTAGCAATAGTTCCAAGTTTTATATAGTGAAAAGTTCAAACATCCTCTTAGGTGCCAGACTAGCTGAGAACTGAAACAGATTACAATATGAAAATCCATTAGTGAACGTTAAAAAAACCACACCTGTTATGTGCAAAGATTCATTGGCTCTTGTTGCCAAGTAATATCACGATTTAGAATAGTACACAGTCTTCTGACCACATTGCACTTATGTCAGTAAGAGAAAAGCTGGAGAGAGAAGCTGTGGAATGGTACATTACAAATAGAATACAGTTTTTATGAGAGTGCCAATTGTTGCTCAAGAACTCTTCACAGTTTTCAACAACCAGCAAGATGGAAAAAGGCATTTGTGTCTGGCTTACTTTCAAGCAAATGCAACTTGGGTCTGGTTTGTATAAAAAAAAATCAGGTTGGTGCCTTTTATTATTATTAAAGAATGTTAACTTATCAAACAGTGTTTATGGCAGAATTTACAAAGAAGCAAACGACTGAAGGGTGACATGATCGAGGTTTATAAGATTATGCATGGGAAAGAGCAGGTAGAGAAAGAGGTACTTTTCTCCCTTTCTCACAATACAAGAACTTGTGGGCATGAAACTGCTGAGCGGTCGGGTTAGAACGGATAAAAGGAAGTACTTCCTCACCCAAAGAGTGATTAACACATGGAATTCACTGCCACAGGAAGTGGTGGGGGCTACAAGCATGGATGGCTTCAAAAGGGAATTAGATAGGCATATGGCGCAGAGGTCCATCAGTGGCTATTAGCCACAAGGTATAGATAGGGGCTCTGGGGCAAGTGATGTTCTGTCTTCTTGGTGCTTGGGGGGGGGGGGTCAACAGTGGGAGGGCTTCTAATGTCCTGGCCCCACTGGTGGACCTCCTGATGGCACTGGTATTTCTGGCCACTGTGTGACAGAGGGTTGGACTGGATGGGCCTTTGGCCTGATCCAACATTGGTGTCTCTTATGTTCTTATGTTCAAACAGTGCAGGAATGGTTATGGTGAAGTAATTTAAAAAAAATGTTAAGTGTCTTTTCTAGTATTGTGTTTAATCCCTGATACGCTCAACTAAGTGGCGGTAGGGTAACGGTAATACTCAGGCCTATCTAAGTCTGGGAATTTCTTAGCATCACATAACCTAAAGGCGGTTCTGATCAATATCATAGTTATTTAGAACTAGAGCAGAAACCTCCTACAAGCCTGGCTTTCACCCCCGTTGTTCTTCCTTCTTTTTACCCAGGCTTTTATCTAAGGGTTTTTCTTAGCTGTTTTAGAGTCTGTGGTCTGTTTCACAGATATCTTTATGCTGTTTTTTATGTCCCCGGTTTATTTTTTTATATTGAACATTTGTGTTTTGACTCATAAGCCACCTTGAGCAGGGCTGTGGAGAAGGGGCATAAAAGTTCCAAAAATAATTGTATGCCACCCAGAGCAGCTACAAGGAAAGGTGATGTAAAAGCAGAAGACATGAACAGTGACTCACAAAAACTCCTACCCTGCCGCAAATGTTAGTCTTTAAGGTACTACTAGGCTCCTGTTCTTTTCTCCTTCAGGTAGAAATATATATGGATGATGCTTCTGTCCATCCCCACCAGTCCGGGTTTCGTCCGGGTCACGGGGTGGAGACTGTACTGGTCGCGCTGACTGACGACCTCCGTAGGCATCTGGATCGAGGCGGAGTGGCGGCACTGTTGTTGTTAGATCTGTCGGCCTCTTTTGATACGGTCGACCACCAGTTGCTGGCCCGCCGCCTCGCCGACGTGAGGATTCAGGGGCCTGCCCTTCAATGGCTGGTCTCTTTTCTCCAAGGTCAGGGACAGAGGGTGGCGATAGGGGATCAGCGCTCCCGAAGGTGGCCCCTCGAGTGGGGTTCCTCAGGGGGCAGTGCTATCCCCAATGTTTAATATCTACATGCGCCCCCTCGCCCAGATTGCCCGGAGCTGCGGGCTGGGATGTCACCAGTATGCGGATGACACCCAGCTGTATCTGATGCTGGGCGGCCAGTCGGATTCCACTCCCGATGACCTTAGTCGGGCGTTACAGGCCGTGGCTGGGTGGCTCAGACTGAGTCGGCTGAAATTAAACCCGGCAAAGACGGAGGTCCTGGGGCTGGGTCGGGCCAGTCTGGGGTTAGGGCTCCCTCTCCCGACCTTCGATGGGGTGCCATTGGTGCCGGTGGCGGAGGTTAGGAGTTTGGGGGTGCTCCTGGACGCCACGTTAACTATGGAAGCCCAGGTAGCAGCCACTGCCAAGTCGGCATTCTACCATCTTCGGCTGGTGCGGCAGTTGGTCCCCTTCCTCGGCCGGGATGACCTAGCCACAGTGATCCATGCGACGGTCACCTCGAGGCTAGACTACTGTAACGCTCTCTACATGGGGCTGCCTTTGTCGCAAATTCGGAAGCTGCAACTAGTGCAGAATGCTGCAGCCAGGCTGTTGATGGATCTTCCTAGACGGGATCACATCCAGCCTGTGCTGAAAGCGCTGCACTGGTTGCCAATAGCTTACCGGGTTCGCTTCAAAGTGCTGGTCGTTACCTTTAAAGCCCTATATGGCCAGGGACCAGCCTACTTAAGGGACCGCCTTGCCCCACATGTTCCCCCAAGGGCACTACGGTCAGGGACTCAACATCTACTGGTTGTTCCAGGTCCCCGTTCTATTAGACTCAGCATGACCAGGAACAGGGCGTTCTCGGTGGCGGCTCCTATCTGGTGGAATGAGCTCCCAGAGGAGATCAGGGCTCTGCAGGACCTAGCACAGTTCCGCAGGGCCTGCAAGACGGAGCTCTTCCGCCAGGCTTTTGAATAGGAGCCGCCACCACTAGTCCACCAGCAGTCCATCATTAGTGCACTAGTGCACCACCATCGCACTAGCTACCATCTATCCCCCATATATGGACATCAAGATGGGGCATGCACATCTAGTTTCTGCATTATGGGCGAGAACGGGATGGTCAGGGATAGTCATCTTGCTTTTAGAAATTTTAGAATTTGTACAGATTGTATAATTTGCTAGGCATCAAAATCTGTTTTAAATAGGGCTGTAATTTAATATTTTGTATTGTTTTATGGTTTTATCTGGCAATATGCCCTGTAAGCCGCCCTGAGCCTCCGGGGAGGGCGGGATAAAAATGTGAATAATAAATAAATAAAAATAAATATAGTGCTGATTTAAAGCCAAGAAGGAGTGAGGAAGCTCTTTGGGCTGAAGATAAATTTGCAAAAATAATTGTCCTGCATTGTTACTGGAACTTGAATCTGTACTTTGGTGCCTCTGTATGTGGAGAAGGTCTACTCTCTGCTTTACATTGAGAGTCTTAAGGTTGCCAGGTCTCTGGTGTGTGTGGGGGGTAGGATTGCCAGTTTGAGGTTGGGAAACTTCTGGAGATTTGGGGATGGAGCCTGGGCAGGACAGGGACCTCAGTGGTGTACAATGCCATAGAGCCCACCCTCCAAAGCATCCATTTTCTCCAGAGGTACTGATCTCTATGTTCTGGAGATGAGCTGTAATTCCAGGGGATTCCCAGGTCCCACCTGGAGGCTGGCATCCCTTAATTGTGACTTGAAGATTATGATCATGTGCATACACATTAATGCATGGGTACTGGAAGCAAGATGCATATCTCCCCAGCTCAGAAATGGAACTTTACTTTGGAGAGGGAGCGGAAACCTAAAGAACGGCCATGCAAGCAGTCAACACTAACTGCACTTTAACAAGGCCTCCCCTCCTCCCCGCCAGCAAGAAGCAGGCCGATCATTTACCAGAGATGGATGCCAGCAAAGAGGGACTGTCCCTGGTCATTAGGGATTGATTGTTGGAGTCTGGTGTGACATATCACTACGGTAACAAATGAGTGCTGTTTGAGAGAGTCTGTGCAAAAAAGCCCAGTGTGACAGAGGGGATTATTCCAGAAAAGCTAATGCACAGTGCCACTCTGGGACTCTGTGTATGTAGTGGAAGAAAAGAGAAATAACACCAGCAAAAAAGCTCTACACATTCAGCCAGTTTGGTGTAGTGGTTAGGAGCATGGACCCTAATCTGGGAGAACCGGATTTGATGATTCCCCACTTCACATACAGCTGATAGTGTGACTTCGGGTCAGTCACAAGTTCTTTCAGAGCTGTTCTCTCAAGAGCAGTCCTCAAAAGAGCTCTCTCAGCCCCA